ATATATATATACATATATATATATATATATAAACTTTCGATTTATTTTGGGCTTTTCATATGCTTGTTTCACTGACGATTGGCTTCGTACGAAAGCCAGATAGAACCGAGCAATCGTAGATGGTATAAATATGATTATTATAACCTTTATTTCATTCTCGATCTCTCTAAGCTAAGACCTGAAGCAGAACCTTATAGCAAGGCTTGTCGTAGAAGAAACAGCTGACGTCAAATATACGAAACCTTTGAAGCCCGGCAGCCGTGAAAGCGGTACGAAAAGTATGCGAAACCGAGCCGCCCTTGTATTACAGCTGAAATATAGTAGCATCGTAAAGCAATCAAGCACGAAGCAGGTCACAGCTGAATGCAATGTGTGCTTGTATCTAAATAGGTGAAATGCACTCGTGACCACTTCTCGGTAAAGGCTGAAGGTATTCGTCAACAAAAGAGCAGGACGTCCTGACGCATCTCCTAAAGTTTTCGTCATGTCCCCCATAGTTCCTTCCGATAGATCAAATCGAAGAATCATGTTGTCATTTACTGTGTGTGTGTTCACTGCACTGAAGTTGACGATAGACTGATTAGAAGCTGAAGCGATACCCTAACTTTAATTTTATCGACCTAATGCGATCAGAGAACATGTCCTTAAAGGACGAGACTGTTACTCCTAGTTTTCCGCCAATACGTTTGGTACTTAAAGCATCAGATCCCAAGTGCCCTCACATTGCCTTCACGTCTCATAATAGATATGTTTAGATGTTGGTGTATGAATTCACTAATGCACTCCATCTACAACGGCGATAGATATTAACTTTATGGTATCAACTAATTGCGTGCTCAGTCATCAAATATATCAATTTCTAGTTGAAAAAGCATTTTCAATTTTTCAAATAGAACGAAGGCTTTCGAAAATGAACCCGGATCATATGACCGGAAAGGCGGTGTAGGTATGGCGCAGGGTACCGACCTTTATTTCCTCTGACGACGACTGCACATGTACAAAATTATGAAGTATCCTATTCTGCACAGGTTCCAATAACACTTCACTCTCGTCTCTGAGATCACGGATCGTATAGTTTTTGTTTCATCTATAAGTTTTTTCCTGACAATTGGGGTGCGTTGTCGAGAACTGATTTCCTATTTGGCGTTTCGTGCAGTACGAACATTTGCATTTAGTGTTTAGTACTCGGTGTTATAGGTCGCACAATCAGATCTTCAACTTACGGAAGAACACACAATGATCGACGCCGTAAAAGGAACGTATCCTAAACCGAAGAAAAATCTGGCCTTGTAAATGATGATGTTATCCTTAGCTGCCAGAGGACACTAGTAGACGTATGCGACGTATGCGCACTCATGAGTATACAATAGCATGCCGATAGCTTGCGAACACGTTTCTTTTCTTGTCTGCCACTTTCGCATTTGTTGTCGTCCCAATCAGGTCGGCGTGCTATCCTGGGGACGCTCCGAGGAGTCCCGTGGTTCCGTTCCGGCGATGTGCGATGCGCGGTTTTCGCGTTGTGGTAAGGGGGCTACTCGCTGACTCCTCTCCTCACACTCCTCTAAACCACCCACCTCTGTGTGCTGCTGCTGTTGTAACGTATTTGTGTGCCTTCTCCAACAACAACAACAACAACAACAACAACAACAGCAGCAGCAGCAGCAGCAGCAGCAGCAGTCGCCAATACCGTCGCCAGCACGATCAGGTCGAAGTCGGCACTGAAGTAGTCACCGCAGCAGCAAAAACAGCGAAAAGCATAGCAGACTGCGGTGAGCGATCGCGCAGATCGATACCACCCCGACACTGGGAATAGCGGCGGCGTAAGCTGCTAGCGCGACTGACGACGAGGACAACAACGATGTCTTCTGCTGCCGTCGCCGCCGCCGCTGCTGCTGCTGTTGCCGTTCGATTGTCGGTCGCTGGTTCGGCTGGTCGTTTGTCTGACTCAGTCTCTCTCACTCTGTTTGTGCTCGCTGTTCCCTGATTGAGAGCGTACGTACACTTATCGTCCTTTTCTCCTTGCCGTCCTACGACCACCGCCGCCGCCGCCGCCGGCAGCGGCCACAGTGAACAACAACAAAGCGGGCAAGCCGAGTAATCGGGTTCAATGTTCTTATGGGACGCGCGCGCACACTGTGCACACAGTCTGTTTCACTATTTCAGTCAGCAGTAACAGCGGCTGTAGCAAAAGTGTTGATTCCAGGACCAATGGCAGCTATGGCACTCTTTGGAGCTCGTTGAAGATCCTGAGCCCGCGCCCTGTTTGCCCGCGTACAACTCCACTAACAGCAACGGTAATGGCAACAACAGCAGCAGCAGCAATGGTGGCTGGCTGTGGCAGCACGCCGATAAAAACGCCCAATAGACCTCGACTACCGTCACACTACGTGTGTACGGTACTACTTACTTGCCGCTGGCCTCGCTGTTGACGACGACGACGCTGCTGCTGCGGCCGCGGCCGTGGCCGTCGTCACGCCGTTCGGTCGCACACACACACACACACACACACACACAGACACACATGTGCATGCATTCAGCCATAGTCCGATAGATACGAGAAGTACGAGAAGCTGTAGCACCACTTTCCTCTGACTCCCGATTTGTCTCTGCGTTTTTCTACCGGTATGCGCGTATCTCGGTGTCTGAACATCTCCAAATGTTTGTGAACAATCCGTCGATTGAGAGAGTGAAACTGGAGAATAGTTGTACAGAACAACATAAACATATATATACACTATACAGTATATCGGGAGTGGGGCGGGTGGGGTAGGGGGTCGACTTACACCAACGGTCCATGCTGTTTCCCAGGCGGCGGCGGCGGCGGCTGCTGCTGCTGCTGCTGTTACCGCTCTCCGGTATTTGTTGGCACTTGGCCCCGCCTCCACTGTTGACACCTGCCGTATTGCTACGTTATTTCGCCGTTCGATCACCACTGTAATCGATATAGAGCAATTCCTTGTAAAACGAACAAGACTAATGCATTTATAATCAGTAGCCGACAAATACAGATGTGCCATCGATTCAGTGAAGACACACACGCAGTAACTATGTAGGGATATAGGCTTTGTAGTCCAGTCATTTGGTGGACGACATGATGGAAGAGCAGGGCTCGACTAGCGGGAAAACACAGGTTTTTCTAGATGTCTCTTAGTAACAAGGCTCCAGTATTTCATAGAGTTAATGATAATGATGAACAGTAACAAGAGGCGAAATAAACAGTATGTTAGTGATTCCGTTAGTTCTCCGGTGACAAAAGTCGAATAGCCCGCTGAAAAATCTGTGCAGGCTGGACGCTACGAGAGCGTTTTTACGGCAACATCAATTAACGTTCGTGTAATAACAATGTCATTTACATAACTAGTTTATGATCTTTCACAACCTAGATCCGTAAGACGGTGCTATAACCAATAGGACTTACATGCCGTTTGGGAGACGACAATCTTTCAATTATCGGCGTACCTTTCTTATACCTATAAGTGTACCCTTTGACTTAGCCACACAAATGGATCACGGTGTTGCAATAAGTGTCAACGATACTGAAGCTTGTATGAGGAACAGCTGGGTGTCAACTATAGGAAAATGTCCAGTGTTGCTTCGGATCGCGTTGTAAGCATGGAAAACTGTAAACGTAGACATCATTCTACAGGATTTTAGGAGAGGCTAGGAAGGATTTAGCTTATATACTTAAGATAAAATTTATTGTCTCTACCCGATAAACGAAAATCTTTCTGTGTTACATTGCGTAAACTTTCCTTCTGTGACCCGTAGCAAAAAAAAACTACTATACTATGCATATCGCATATTCTGCCAGACTGCTCACGCTATTTTCAATGAATTGCCATCTTGAAAAAAATATTGCCAAGTTTACGGCCCAGATGAACACCTGTTGATTTCAATAGAGGCAGCAACCAAAACTAATGTAATTATTGTGGTATTAGCACACATTTTATGCAAAGTTTTACTCTAACAAAGGAGAGAAATACATCCACCTTTGTGGTACTGAAGCATGAAAACTATTACCTGAGAAATAAGATCTCGAGACGCAAATGGTTCTTTGAAAACAACAGGTGCGCCTTATTTAATAGTTTGGATTTCCATCGAGATTTTGCAGTTTCTATGACATCTACATAGGAGCACCGCATGTGACTGGATTTTATCATAAGCGTTTTGGATGACTCATAAGAATCATAGATATTCGATTGTACACGACAGTTTCCCGTGTTCCTTCCTTTGACGTTGTCATAACAGATCCACTAGGTCACTATAATCACCATCGAGTGGCTGGTATCAATTTGTAGCAAAGAAAAGATTCCCGGAGTACCGGAAAATTACTTAGCACGTTTGTGATAAATTCGTGGTCTGACGTTTGAAAGTGGGGAAAACTACAGCAACACTGAGCATATAAATCTATATCTATGTCCGTATAGTTCAGATACAGATCTGTAGTTATTATTATTATTGCTCCCTCGGCTTCCTCCTTTGACTTATCTTTCCCGCTCTTATTGTATTGACCTGCTGCATATACATGCACATGATATAGATACGGCGAAGTATTACATTGTATTGGCCCTATTAGGCTGTATCGACGCCGTTGTTTTCCGGCCGGCGCAGTGCCATTGTTGGAAAGTCGCGTCGAAGTGCGTGATGCCAAAAGACAGAGATTCGAGAGAGAACTGGGCAGAAATGAGATGCTGGGGGCTATTTTATGTGTGTGTGTGTGTGTGTGTGTGTGCCGGTCCCAGCCTATATATGCTGTTGTGTGCAGGTGTCTTTCTATCGTCTTCGTTGTTCTTTGCTGTCTTTGTCTGTATTTCATCCGTATTCATCGAATTTGGCCGTCATATAAGGGCAAAATAGTCTTAGATCTGCATGGCAGGCAGAAAACAACAAGATCTCGGACAGAATGTATCAAGCTGGGGTGCTGTCAACGTACGAGAGACACACATCAGGCTGTCAAACTGCTTTTAGACAAACGCTGGAAGCAAACGAAGAGACGATTGCTGTAGAACGGCGACGAGAGAAAAAAGGCGCGTCAGCGCCAAGACGCCACAACAAACACGCTGATCAACGACAGGGCTGGGAACAAGGCAAATTCAAGAGACCGACGAGGCGGCGGTCAAAATCCAGATGATAGAAGCAGGAACAATCGAAGGAGAAAAAGAGCGAGAATCGAGAATTACAGTTGAACGTAAAAAACGAAAAGCTGTCATTACGTGTTAGTCGCACAGGAAGCAAGCATGCGCACGAGGAGACGTTGTCGCAGTGTTATTGCCTTCGCCGTCAGCACCAACTAGCCGTTCGCTTGCTTATGGCCCTTTTGAGCTGAGTAACTTGAAATAGTGCGCTGCGAGGTACTCTTAAGCCTGCGCGACAGTTGCAAGCCCAACAGGCAGACGAAGTTGGAAGCTGAACCGGCTGTAAAGGTGAGTGAAGAAGCATGGCTTGACTCCTCACCGTCCACCTCTTCTCCGATGTGGATTGTCCTCTATAAGTTGCTGTCCGAATGTCGGTAGGCGTGTGAATATGCTTTTCAATAGACTGTGGTAATATGGGCTGCCTATCTATCTCCGCTGAAGGTCCGATCAACCACATCGAAAAATGATGCCGACGGCTAGACATTACTATTGCTGTTAGTGCGGCCATATTGAATTTCAAAGCGTGTAATCCATCGTTCCTTTTTTGGCTTTTCAAAAACTACTTAACGGTCATGAAACTGTTATCATTCACTGCTCTGGAAATGGACCAGGATACCTTATTGTTTCTATAGGTGCCTCTATGCTGCGCCTACAGCAGGGAGGCGGTCGAAATCGAAGAAGTATCAACTACAGACATACAGCCTGCACGAATTTTATAAGTATCGAGCCTAAATGTCTTTATTCCCTTCGCTGGCTTAGGCTACTAGATATGACGCAACTACAGCTTCCGTATAAAATGGGTTTGAAAGTTAACGGGATATGCGCCATTTTAGACCGAGAGGTGTCATCAACAGGTGAAATAATTAACGATTTGTTGCTATCCAAGAGGACACCCAAGCTGTTTGAGCAGTTACTCAACCTCATGACAAAAAGCTGATATTCTACAATGTCAAAGTCGCAATATTGTTTTAGAATAATACTTTTTACATTGTACATTGGCTTTCAGATTACGAAGCAGACTTTAAAAGCTTTAGCTAAATATTGACGTATTAGCAAAATTTTAAGCGAAGTTGCCATTCTTTAAGGAAATCCTTACTGATCTTCTTGCGTCCCCACCTTATTGTCAAACGCACGGTTCCACCCGTATAGATGTGTATTTACAGAAAAAAAAAAATTTTGGACAAGATTATTTTCGAAATCGCCAAACCCTCACTACCGATCCACGGGATTGTACAGCTTTCTCATCACCTAGCTCATCGCTAGGTATAGAGACCCGGTCATGGCATTACCTTAAAATGTCCCAAGATCTTCCACGATACATTGGCTTCGTTGGATACCCGAGAAAGCTGTGGCACACCAACTGAAGCGAGTATAATAAAATAATCAAATACAGAAAATTTTACCGTCTAAAAGATACGTAGTATGAGAATTTTTTTTTTTAGGTTAGCAACGATTTTTCTTAGCACTTATGTGTACCTAGATTTTTCTAGTTGATGTAGACCCACAACGATTTCGCTCGATAGAGCACTCCAGCATAAAATGCACGGGCCAGCAACTATGTTTTAGGGGTTACTATGTGCGGTCTTGAAATACCACTCTTGATCGTTGTGGCAAGGGATATTCCATTGGCCACCTGGGGCTGCTTGGTTGAGGCTGACGTTTGCAAGACTAACCGTAATTTATTACACTTTAGTTGACGCTGATATCTTTCTTCCTGTTGCTAATCAGCCAGTTGTTTGTTGCTAGAAAAAGAGCATATATTGTACTCAGCCTGTTTGTTTTTTCTTTTTTTTTTTTTTTTTTTTTTTTTGATACAAGGTTAGATTGATATGTTCAATGAAAACAGTTATTGTCCTCACAAGCGCTTTTATGACCGACATCTATTCCTAGATTATTCTTCCGCCTAAACGTTAGGTATTCTTCATTATGTAGAAATAATCCAGAGTCATTGAAATTGTCCGAAGATACTGACGTCGACATCATCGAGTGATAATAACTAGCAAGGGTTAGGCAGAATATACGAGTTCGAAATAATTTTTCTCAACATCCTGGCTTCAGCTGTATTTGGGTTGCTTAAAAAGACCTTTCACACTACACCTTGTGCGATGTAACCCATTAGACCATCTGCGTACGTAAAAGTAAAGCTGGACAGACCGTAACTATTGACGCTGTTTTTCATCCCTTACGCTATTTTAAATAGGCAACGGTCATAGCGAATGGGCGACGCAG